TAGAAGGCCAGATCCCAAAGATGAAACTCAAATACTTTGGCCATCTAATGAGAAGGAAGGACTCCCTGGAGAAGAGCCTAATACTGGGAATGACTGAGGTCAAAAGAAAAAGGGGATGACAGAGAATGAGGTGGCTGGATGGAGTCATCAAAGCAGTAGACCTGAGCTAAAATGGACTCCAGAGGATGGTAGAAGACAGGAAGGCCTGGAGGAACATTGTCCATGCGGTCACCAGGGGTCGGACACGACTTTGCAACTAACAACAACAAATCCTATCAGGCCAGCCAGAAGGGGCTTGTTGCAGACCCCATCTTTTAAGGAGTTACCTCTGATGGGATCTAGGAGATGGGCCTTTTCTGTCATGGCACCCATCCTTAGGAACATCATTCCCTTCTTCCCACTAGCTCTGACCCCTAGTAACCTTCCAGAAATCCCTCCATATGTGTTTTTTTTCCAGCAATCCTAGGGATCTTTTGGAAATAGGGGACCTATATGATGGCTTCGTTATATGTGAATCTTTTAAATGCTCTCTTATTTATTTGTATATTTTCTTGTTTTAATGGTTGCTTTAAGGAATGTTTTTATAGTTTGTTTGATTGTAGACCAAAGTCACATTTGTGAGATGGATAGTTGCAACGGTTTGATAAACAAATCAAATATTACCCAAATAACCCAGGTAGTAATTCTAAGATTTTCTTGGGTAATAAAGCTACTCGCAATAACTCCTGTTAGAATAGGAACCAGATTTTCCAATCTCATGACCACCATCTCTGCTGCAATCCCAGCACCCCTGATCTCTACAGCTGAGCCCTTCTTGAAAGAAACAGAAATTCTGCCTCCAGAAATTGTGGCTGCTCCATGACTGGAGGTTTTGAAGAAGAGATTGGATAGCCATGTCTCTGGTATGGGATAGGGCTGTGATGGCGAACGTATGGTGTGGGTGCCACAGGTGACACCAGAACACTCTCTGAGGGCACGGCAGCTATCACTTAAGCGGCGTAGAGTCACCGAAGCAGCGTGAGCTTAAATGGACTCCAGAGAATGGTAGAAGAAAGGAAGGCCTGAAGGACTATTGTCCATGGCGTTGGATGGGTTGGACACGACTTTGCAACTAACAACAAAAACAACAAATTAAATAGGGCTTCCTGATCTGTCCCATGATTCTAATGAATATGCAGACATTGGCTTGGCTAATGACAGAGATAAAGCCATCCCTTGGCTAGGATCCTAGAACGCTATCTTCAAGAAACCAAGATTAGACTTACGGAATGCTATCTCAATGGCTAATAAAGTGGACTGTTGTTTCCTGCAAAGATTTCCCTCCCGTCGCTCCACCCATAAGCTCTTTGGGAGGGGCCACAACAGTAGCCACCTGTCCCTATTCCCTTCTACGACGTCTTCTCCACAGCTGCACCCTTCTCAGCTCTACCCACACGCATATCAGGGACAACCTGCCCCTGTTCCTCCTCACTGCTCCCTGACTCAGATGCCACCTGGTGGCCAACAGGCCTCTCTAGTCCCTGCTCTGACTCCAAACACCCTCCAGAGTCTTGGGGAAGGCCTGGGAGGCAGGAATGCAGGCGAAAGGTAGGGCATGCTGAGGGGGGGACTGCAAAGATCGGGGAAGGCCTCGTGTCTT